AGGGGTTGTTTCCTTGTTGTTTGGGTGGACATTTTTTTGTAATCATGGACACAACCTGACAGAATTTGTACCGAAACTCCAACAGTGTTGTAGTGTGGGAAAGTTCTGAAAGGCTGCTGGCCATGATAAGAACTGAAAAACAAAGGCAAAAGAAAGAAATGTATCTATCTTAGCATCTACATGGGAGATTGTAATCACTTTCAAAAAACAACTGCATTAGAACAAAATGTTTAGTGAGTTAAGAGCACCTCTAAAAAATGATTTTATTACAATAGAATTTAGTCAAAGGTTGTGTGTCTGACCTGTGGTATGTATTTCACGGTCTGCAGTGCTGAGGTGTGTCCCCTATTGAGGTAGGTGTGTGTGAAAAGAAATAAAGAGGTGTGTGTGCTGTATCATTGCTAAGCGCTGAGCTCTGTTTCGCTTGGCAACAGCTCTCGTCTCCATTTCTTTCTCCCAGTCTGTCTTGGTCCTCTCTTTTTGTCTCTACAGCTTTGGATGTTTTGTCAGCCCTCGGAGGACGGACGTTGCTAAGCTAATAACTTTACAGACGACTTATGAATGAGACGGTCACATCGGTAGGTTTGTCTTTAGGGCTTGGAATGAAGGTTGTTTGTCTGTTTAAAATGTAACAGCGTGGTTGCTAAATTAACAAGCATTGGTATCACATGAAAAGGCAGCATGAAATGGTGATGCCCAGGGGGTCAGTAGAATTTGGTAGATTATATGTAATTCAATTAGTTTGACATCCAGTAACTAGTTAACAGTATTATTGTAAATACTGTCTTTGTTGAATATGATTGGAAACTTTTTCTAAATATTTGGACGTTAGACTTTTGAAATCAGGGGGTCTTCCAACCCTCTGTTTCATGTGGTTGTCTTTCTTTTCTTTTTTATTTGATGGGTTGATCCCTAAGATCATGTGTGATCATTTTAAGACCCAATGAGGTTTAGAGTCTGTTTACAATTGTGATTGGGCAACATAGTTTTAAGCAACAATACTTTTGGAAATCATTCTCTTTAAAAAACATTTTGTTTTATTCACTGTCTTATATGAACTTGATATTTCTGGTAAAACCAGCAAAGATGAACTTTCTTAACTTGGTCAGGTTGTAGTCAGCAGTTTGTTTTGGTGCAAAATGGGTTTTGATTCTATCTGAATGTTTTAATTCTAGGAAGTGTTTCCTCTACAGAAATAAGATGAATTGAAGTGAAGATCTTAGCCAAGCCACGTTCTGTACGGGTTCTTAGATTCAGTTTCTTTTGTTGGTTTTTACACATCTGAGAAAGGTCAAGTTCAGCCTGAGGGTTGTCATACGCTTTCTTAAGTGTGGCCGCATAATGAAGAGGAATTTTCTGTCTGCTTCTGAAGGTTGTGAACTAAGAGTCTGGAGTTTGAGTCGGTGTTGTTGACTGCAGGGATTTAGGACATTGTCTGCATCCTGATGCTTCCTGTTGCCTAATAGAAAATAAGATTTGTGTGGTGACTCCCAGGCGTGTTTTTGGCTCATAACTGGAAGCAGTGTGTTATGAGATGAATGTGTAAGATATCTGTCATACAGACGGATCAATCACAGCTGGATCAATTCCATCTAAAATAATCTGTGAATTGTAGTCAGTAAGTAGCGCTTTACAACCAAGGACAAATAAAGTCAATTATGTGCATTTTGATGCAATGATAATTACTACATAATTTACTACAGCCCCAGATCACCATAGCCTGTAACCCAGTCCCATCTCAGGGTGGAGTTTAACTGGGGAAAGGCAGCTGGACAGATGTTCATCCTGCCTGTTTTAGCTTTCAAACAATGATAAGAAAGGTTCAATAAAGCCTCATTATTCTTGGGTTGAATGGATGATACAGTTCATCACCTATACGATTGTATACTGTATGCGTGATAAGAAAATCATAAGCTCATGCAAATCACATGTTTAGCCATGTTTGCTTTATCTGCAGTACAGAGTACAAGAAGCCACTTGCCATGTCAGATGCTATGTTTTTACATTTTTTTGACATTTATAAAGACCGTAAGAAGATTTTCAAGGTTTCCAGTATGGACTTCACACACATATGATTGCTCTTCTTGGGTCTTTTAAATACCTTACCCTAATATGATACAACGTTGTTAACGTCAAACTCTCCACAGAATAACTGCATAATGTTTGGAGCAGAAAATTAGGCACTTTTTTCCTGTTAATAAGTGGTGAATAATTGTTGCATGGAAATCTGGTTGTCTGGATATTCTTGTAATGTTTGCAGTTCATGGGAAGAACACAGAGTACTGAAGCTCTGATGAAGTATGTGCGATAAGGGTTATCACTATTGTAGGCTTGGTCATGTTTTGGTACATAATCTGGCCACTTCGAAGCAGGAAGTATTGGGAAAGTCGCTTTGTATCCTCGTACTAGGGAGATACATTTGAGACACTCCAATTGACTTGTTTCCACCAGTCTGGAGTGAAGATACCCCGCTGCCTTGCATTATGGGATTATGAGACAATAGGAGTAACACATTTTATTATGTAAATGTTTTGTTTTATTTTAAAACATCATTTTAGATTAAATGGAGCCAATCAATTACAACACATAGATTAAAGTTTGGACGTTAAATTAGCTGTTCGAACAGTTATACCAAACATGTAATTCATGCTGTCCACCTTATCCATCGTGGATTCTGAGGCCAAAGTTCACTTGTGTGCTGAAGGCGTAACCTACTGAGTCACAGGCAGAGGTAGAAAACCCTGCCACTGTGTAGAAAAGTTGAAGGAAGAAGAAGGAAAATTGAGTACAGGCACTATTTTCCCCAAGATTCAGCGTTTCACCTTCAGAAAGGACTACCTCATTTCACCGCAGGTACGTCAAGAGTTTGTTGACGAATCCAGAAACAGCATAGATGATTAATTATAAAGATATTTATAGGTGTAAAAGGCCTTCAAGTGATCTTATCTAAATTACATTACATTAAATTAGGAACGATGAACAGTTTTTCAATGAACAGTTTTTCCATGGCTGTGTATCATTTCTTGCCTATAGTTTGAAACCAACAAGAGCTGAAATGTACAGATCAATATTGATGATTGGTCTTGACTAGAGTTGGAGGAACCAAAAGACAGTACAACTAAAGATAAAGAAAGGAATATTGCTCAACAATAATCAGTAACATTTCCATTAAAACTAAAATGTTTCCTTGGTTACATCCTCTAGTTCCCCTTTGACATTGTGTCATCCTCTTTATAGGGTTGCAAACATATTCATGCAAACATATTTAAAGCACAATACTCTAAAATGTAAACATTAACTTTGGAAATTCAGAAGCTGTAATGAGAAAGGACACTATTGTAACTTGTTCAGCAGACCTAATATAACAACTATTGCAGGTCGATAAGTGTTGAAACCTAGTTTGGTAGGGAAACATAAATGCCCTTTTTATTTGCCATTGTGTGAAAAATTAATAAATGAAGTTATGTCATGATGAGAGAACTGCAGTTCAAACCTTTTTTTGCTATTGTAATATTATACCTGAGTTTCAGACCAATACCTAAACAATATTATATTTACTTTTTTAGGGGAAGAAGAACATAACTTTACTGCTCACTGTGCTAACTTGTGATGCTTGACACGTTTGCGATATTCATGTTCAAACACAAAATGATTTAACTGTAATGTGAGAAGAGGCCCCTGCAGTGTGACTGTGTAAAGCTTACTTCTAATAATAATGGGTCAAAGTGTAAGTCAACATTTGTCATATTTGCTAATCGGGCTGTGTCATTATGATGGTTTTCTTGCATTGCTGACATCATGGGGGTCAAAGGGGTGATTGAAACAAACAGTTCAATTGGCTTCATCATGGATTGTTTCTATGAAACTGTGAAGCTTATAAGTGGACAGAAATACGAAACAATGAGTAAGCAATATTAATTATTAGTTTTTATAAAGCAGAACAATGTTATCTGCTGCCGACACAGTGGAGCATTTTCTTTCCAATAGCTATTTTGGTTACTGACCAGTGAAGCATCACTAAACCCTGTTTAATGAGTTGAGGGATTCAAATGGAATATGTTGCCACCTTGACTGACTTTCATCCTGTCACCTTTACTCATTGACATTCAACAGGTAAAGAATGATTTCTGAGTTTAGCTCTATGACGTACATTGTTAATGCCAGTTCAATCAATGGCTGAAACTCCAAGAGGATAGATACAAACCTCTTAAACAGGATGTCTAAAGACAAAGGTCAAAAGCAGACATTGAAGAATAAAAAGTGCTGGTCCAAGCTGTTATCAACTTGTTATTAAAACAACTTGTTATCGCATTTCTTGCTTAATAGTCATTTTAGACTGGACGTTACTTCCCTGATTTCTATGTTAAGTGTGATTATGCTGTTTGGAACTGTTTTTAAATATGAACTTGAGTTTAAAATGTAGATCCGAGCCAATGTACCCAACAGAAGGTAACAAAGGCCCTGAATGCCTGTGATGGTGATGTCCCAATTATGTAAATACTGTTCCAGAAAACTCTCTGTTTGCACTCAGTGGGCCATGATGGACCAAACTCTCAGCCTGACTAAGCTGCTTTTGATCTTGTAGCCTGGATAGATGAAAATGACCCTTTATCATCATCTGAAAAAGTACAGTCAAATATAACTCAGGATAATGGGGCTTGTGACGGCAATTTCTTTCGTTTCAATTGAACCAAACCTCATTTTGATATAAGCAGATTATTTGTCTAGCTCTGAAACGCAGTATTGTTGCTCGGACATGGACCAATCCATAATAATATTCTCTGTGGGTTGTCATCAGGCTTAGTTCTGCAGGACGATTACAGAGTTGTATGAACAATTCCAGTTTAGCTTTGACAATATGTTTTTCACATTGCTGCTTCATAGACATACTTGGTTTCTGCAAAAACATGTTTTTCTCTTATTAGTCAGGCTAGTCTTTGAAGGAAGCGACTCTCTGTTTACCCAAACTGAAGGCCTATATTGTTTTTCTGTCTCTACAGATCCTGCTTCTCTCGACAACGCTAAAGAAACCCAACCTGAGCTCAGAAGTCAGCTGTGGACGTCTCTGAATCAAGCTGCAGATTTGCTCCAATTGAGCCCCTGGATATTGAGCGAACATCGTGCTGTTGCCGTGCTGACAGGCCAGAGGGACATTGATCGCCAGGTGTCCCTCCAGAGGAACTCTGAGGGGTCGCCACGGAAAGGAACATGTTCTAGAAGTCGTACGTCTGTCCTAATCCACTGGTCGGCTTTGACTCTAGAAGATGAACAATGAGGATGAGTTCTACGACGCCGTCACAGGTAGGAGTGTATCCGAATCTGGTTTCTAATGGATAAAGTTGTTTTGTAGATCTTTCTGAAATAAAAGAGTGATTTTCTGTGTCTGTCCGAAAATAGAAAGTTCCCAATTGATGCCAGATGTCTCAACAGATTTTTCACAAAATTGTTGATTTGATTTCTTCTCTTCATTTGTAATTTTCTGAAACCAATATTTATGTATCATTTAGGTTAACTAGGATCTAAATGTATTTGGCTACAAGAGGCTATCTCGTAATAAGCTTAATACCCTCTGATGGAACCTAACCTGCTGTAGTCTGATGATTATTTCAATAATTCAGAGGTCTGCTATCTTGCGGTCATGATCGGTAAGGTCAGCAACAGCTTGCATTCTGGGAGGTTGTGTGGTTGTGGTCACCTTTACAAAATATAAAGAAGTAGAATTTGTGTGGGTTTTCCAGATAAGTACTAATTTCAGTGTGCGTCTCTTCTTTCTGGGTTTAAGGATATCAGTTGGTATCAATATCCCAAGATCAGCAGTGAACGCTCTACATCTGATACCCTTCATAAAGGCAGTTAAATGAAACCTGACTTTTATTAAGGAGTCATTGGTTTTAGATGTCTGCTTCTGTAAAAAGATTAGACATGTCTCCATGCATGGGATGCCATGAAGGGTCTGATATCTAGGAATTAGCTCATTATAAAGATTTGATTTAGCTAATCTATTATTTGGAGTTGCTTTGACTCACAAGGACGTTGTGTATACACTTGTGTGTCATCCTCACTATTTACTATGAGAGGGGCGTAGCTTGTCTTACATTCCAGGGGTCTGACTCGCCAGACTCTGGAGAGATACACTTTGAAGTGTTTCTCTTGGTTTTGGAAACGCTTTAATACTCTAAAGTTGGAGGAACACTCATTCGGAGAAATACTCACTGGTGATGTCAGTTAAAGTTGTACGGTCATTAGAACAATGTGAGAAATAAGACATTTGGACAACAACATGGATTTTATTGCCTGTGGACATAGTACTGTTTTAGTAAAACATTATAATTAACAGCTGTTAAAGGTGGGGTAGGTAATTTTGGAGAAACCAGCTCGAGTGCGCTAGAATTTGAAAATACACAACCGGAAAATCTGCCACTTCCTTACACAGCCCCTCCTCCAACACACACGAACGCGCACATGACCAATGAGGGCAAGAGCTAAGTTTGTGCACAGATGGAAGGCTGACAGGCAGGTAGCTTTTTACAGCACTACGGCTTCCACAGATCGGGATGTTAAGAGCATTCCATGGAATATATCAAAAAGTGTATCTAGAGCCGGTTTTCTCAAACTTACCTAACCCACCTTTAATCGCTTTAGTTTTTAATAGGGTGTTGTTCTGTCAGCAATTATTAACACAATTGCTTTTGTGCCTTTACTGCCTGTTGTGACCCTTTGTGTGATATTGCTAGGCACTCATGTTGACATGTTAATTGCTATTAGACTATTGTTTTTTCTTGTTTCCTGCCCATATATATACAAGAATCAAGTGTGTGTTTGTATCTGCCTGCCTCCTGTCTTTGACCATATTACTAATCTGAGACGGATGTGTTATTAATGTGTACACAGGGTGTCAGATGAAGTCAGGAACAGGTGGATTCCAGCATGGCTTTATTGTCTAGTTTGTTCTCCCTCATTGCACCTCTACTTTTGGTAAATAGATGTTAACTAGTATTCAATTTCAATATAAATGCTAGTCTTGGTGATTTTTTGTTCACAGACTATATTGATCCTTAACTTCTATCAGCTCTTTAAGAATTATCCAACCAATTCCAAGTATTAGAAAGCAATACTAAACAGATATGATCTAGGTCACTTCCTGGGAGCTACAAGGACTGGAAGGATAGGGTTACATTTCTCTGTATGTTCTAAATCAATGAAGATTTGCAGCACATGGTGATATTGCAACATCTGCTTTTTCAGCTTGTGGCTGGAGGATTTGTACTGATCTGGTTTGTGCATCACAACATATTGTTCTTTAGTCAGAATCAGAATCCCTTTATTAGTCCCTCAGAGGGGAAACGTACGTTGTTACAGCAGAAAAAGAGCCACAGACAGCCTAATGTTACACATGTAACATAACATGCATTTAAAAGTACTAAGTAAAAAAAAAAGTAGTGTGATACAATTACAATGAATCTTGTGTTATATATTACCTTCAGTTGGCAAACATGTACTCCAACAATTGCAGATCCCTTATTCAGCTACTATGATGTAAGATCTAATGTTTTGAATTCTAGCTTACACATTTTGCACCAAATATGAATGACACACCTGCATGTAGTGAAAGGCTGCTCATTAATACTCTGAAATGTAACACAAAGGGCTTTAACACAATCTAAAATGCCGTACCTCGGTAAGAGTACACTCCTGGTACGTTTGACGTAATACTGACAGCTGAGTAGGCGTGTTTAATAATTGATAATACACAACTTATTCTATTTTAAGTGGTTTCTAAGGCCCCACCTTGAGTTCACCTCTACTCCACCCTGCAGCAATTAATATTCACAAGTCATTTATCTTCTGGCTGACAGCCAGGTGTAGGTCGACACCTGCATGTATTCCCATTGACATTTACTGGTAAACCCAATGCCCTCACAGCAGGTGTACTATTGCTTTATTTTCGGTGTGCACGTACCAAAATGCTGCTTTTCCCTCGTAAAATGTTAAAGTGATGCCAGAAACTATATTTGTGTTCTTCAAAAACACTTGAATTACTCAAAAATGATGAAACTTGTCAGACGGCATTGACAGCTTTGTTATTACTGAGCTCCGACATCGCATTGTTGTTTAAGTCCGCAGCGCCTCCTTGTATACGGGTGTCTTGTTTTGTTTTGCGAGAATTTAAATATCTTATATACAAAATCAGTGCCACAGTATTGCCCTCATACTTTCTTTTTCTAGAAAAACCCTGAAATACTATTTAGTTTCATATGGCTGCGCCATGACAGTTTACATGGGATTTCCGAATTACATTGACATGTATTATATTGTGGAATTTTAGAATCATGACCATGAATTTAAAAAAAACATAGCATTAGGGTTTCTGAAGGGACACCAATGTAATGTAAGTGAAGAGGTTAGTCTGTGTAAACAGGTACCAGGCAATCAATCACATTTGCCTGTCACACACAGACTCAAAGTCCCTGATGCAAAACAGTTTGCAAATGTTTTGCACCATCCGTGACTTTGACCAATGTTGCAAGCAAACCTTTAGAGAGCTTTGTTTCTCTCTGAATATGCATTTCTGTGTTGCCTTTTATTGCACTCGTTGAAAGAGCAGGTATTCTGCGCAGAGCAGCTGCTGTGACCTCGAGTAACACTCTCTCTCCCACAGGTCTGGATTCAGACGAGTCGTATGAAGGCGTATCGGAGGCCAGCTTCAAAGATGCGCTGGTGTTTGACAGCAGCAGCCAGAAGAACAATGGGTCTGTGCCACAAGAGAATGGCATCAAGAAACACAGGTACTGCTGCATTCCTGCCCGCATTCCTCCTGCTGGGTTTGTTTGTATGTGGGTTACCTCTTCCTGAAACCAGCTCAATGTGTGGGGCAGGGTCGAAACACATTTCTTCTGTCCATGTCGCAATATTTTGTTATGCTGCGGTCAAATGAGAAAACAAAAAAAACAGCATGAAAAAACATGAATGCTTTTAGTCATATTAGGAACATTGGGTAGATGTGTAGACTGCCTCTTGTGGCTGAAATGTGTGTGACAATAACAAATACAACAAATCACTCATTTAAAATTATCCCTGTTTTTTGTTTTGTTTCTGTTTTTCAGGACGTCATTACCGGCGGCCATGTTCTCCAGAAACACTATCAGTGTGTGGAGCATCCTGAAGAAATGCATCGGACTGGTAAGGAGCCGCAGACTTTCAGACACAAATCAAATAACAATTAACACAAATCAAATTCAGTAGCTGCTCATTATTTTAGGGCCCTTGTTACCAGAGTCAGAGCAGTGTTTGAAATTACGTCACTGCCATGTCAAAAACTGATTGTGTAATATGAATTGTCTCCACTTCAAACAGTATTTGTTAGATGCCATGTGATCAGGAGGTTGGAGAGATTGAAATCAACTCAGATGATTACAAACTTGTTCTGTTAGTAAGGGTCACTGTGTGGTTTTTCCCAGGAACTCTCCAAGATCACGATGCCCATCGCCTTCAACGAGCCTCTGAGCTTCCTGCAGAGAATCACAGAGTACATGGAACACACTTACCTCATCAACAGAGCCTGCGCATTGCCCGACTCCATAGAGCGCATGCAGGTCAGACACACACACATGTACAGGAAGGACATAAAACAAATAAATATTCTGTACATTTTTTGCATTTTCTTGTTTAATTTAGCAATTTATTTACTGGATCTATATGCAAGTTTTAATATTCCTTTATGAGCACTAACCACATTTATTCCACTCATGAAAACATTCTATTCCAAGTATTTGCACTTCCATTTGCAAAAAACACGGTTTAGCTACACGGTACACTTTACAGCCCTTTGTGTTTTGTTTGGAAAGTTCTAGGTAAACCTCAATTAGTTGATTTCAGTTGCCATTTTGACCTCAACATGATGGGTTTATAATCACTGAATGTAAGAACTGCCCTGGTGCTGTAATTAAAGCTATGCATGAGCTACTACATATTGTAAATACAAAAAAAAAACAGAGATCAAGGTAATTTAATTCTCCAGGGTGGTGTGCACTTATCCGCTCATCCCCAGTGTATTGGATCAATAAAGCAACCAGTATGGAAAGCTCGACACACACAAACACTTATTGACTGACTGAGCCTGGCTCTAAACAAAAGGATTAATATGAGAACATGCAACGGCACAGGGAAAAGAAACAAACACAAACTCACTGACATGATGTGTACATTGTTTGTCTTTAGGCGGTAGCTGCTTTTGCTGTGTCAGCGGTTGCGTCTCAGTGGGACAGAACTGGAAAACCTTTCAACCCTCTGCTGGGAGAGACCTATGAGCTCACCAGGTACACACACACACACACACACACACACACACACACACACACACACACACACACACACACACACACACACACACACACACACTTTTTGTATTTAATGGGAACACCATCCTATGTTACATTACATTGTCAATGTGTCATTGTTTCTGTCTTGTCAGGTACTCTGCCACCATGTCATCTCGGTTTAGGTGTCAAATACAAATCTAATTTACCCTGTGATTTGGTTCCTTTATTTGATACAAGTAACTTTAGTGTTGAGATGATGTGGTAAGACCAGTTCTTCGTTTAGTGTGATTTTAAACCTCTTTCCCAATTCATAGCATTTGAAGAAGTTTCAGACTTTATATTTCACATCACACATTTTTAGCACTCCAGGTTTTGAATTTGAAGGAGAGTTGACAATGTTTACTAATATCTTGGACATTCTTAGACCATAGGAATAATGCCTGAATTTCTAAAAAATAGTTGTAGTTCTCCTTGAGATGTTTTTGGGCCATTTTAGCCTAAATTTGGCAGAAATGGGGGAGATAAAGAGGTCAGTGCAACTAAGGTCCAAGGGCTAGAATCAAACTCAAGTTGTTGTGTTGTCGCCCAGTTTAACGTTTCATTTCCCCCCTGCCCTCCACAGAGAGGACCAGGGCTTCCGGCTGGTGTCGGAGCAGGTATCCCACCATCCCCCGGTCAGTGCCTTCCATGCAGAGAGTCTGGTGGGGGACTTTGTCTTCCACGGATCTATCTACCCCAAACTCAAGTTCTGGGGCAAGAGCGTCGAGGCCGAGCCGAAAGGGACCATCACACTAGAGCTGCTCAAGTAAGTCTGGTGACAGTATGTTCACGTCACAGTTTTCTGATCCAGAATCAGTTCCTCATCGCTTCTTCTCCTCTCCTGCAGGCACAACGAGGCGTACACATGGAGTAACCCCTACTGCTGTGTTCACAACATCATCCTGGGGAAGCTGTGGATAGAGCAGTATGGCACCGTGGAGATAGTCAACCACAGGTGAACTGCACATGGGAGATGTAGCCTGTGATTACTCTTTACAGCAGGTCCTTTGTACTGTAGGCATGAGTGCAGTTTGTTGTTAATTGAACTGTATTGGTAACCTATGGGGACCCAAACAGTGTTTTTATAATTTGTCAAGACAAATATTAAAGGGGCCCTATTATGCTTTTTGGGGTGTTCAATTTCATATAGTTTGTTTTATACATTTTGGTGCATGTAAATGGTCTGCAAAGGGTCAAATCCCAAAGTTCCCTCCAGAGGGAGTATCTCACCCACACACTCGCCCCCTATCAATATTTTAGTTTGTAAAATGGTGGAGAAAAAAAAAGTTGAACGACTGACCTTTAAAGTTTCCTAAAGCCAAAGATGATGGCTGAATATTGCTAGTTTTGTTAACAAATTATATTACATTTATAACAAAATATTTATAAAAGGAAGAGGGCTGATTCACATTACAAAAGCTGAACCTAAATGATCTTTCTTTGAGCGTGATATTCTACTGAGTTTTTTAAAGAACACAAATGTTCTGCTTGGATGCCTGAATAAGGTCTGTTTATAGACAAACTTAAGATATATTAATGATTTGATTCTACAACACAGTTGACCCTCAAGCACACTCTCCTCTATCTTTGTTCAACAATCCTGCCCGGCGCCTTCATCTACTCTGGCTCAGCGTTTCACTTGAGCAGCTTGTGTGTCTTCTCGTGCAAACAATACGTCAAGCACTTGTAAACCTTTATTTATTTAAGCTCTGCAAGGCCTTTTTGTTATCCTTATGTCCATCCAATCTGAGTCATAATCACACAGCTGCTGAGATTCTGCTGTACTGAAGCACTGATTGCGTAAAAGAGCCTTGCATGAAGAACAGGGAGCGCTTGATCGAAACTTAGTGCAGGAAACAAAAAAGGCCTGTCTAGTTTCAGACTGACCTTTGTCTAAACAACACTAAGGAGGAATTAAATTACACTAATGAAAATCTTAATTGCAATTAGTAGATCAGGAACGTCGGTTTAGGAAACTTTAGCCTCAATCTTCATTGTTGTAGCATGAGTATTTTCTTTCTTCATTACAGTACATTACATTGCATTTAGCTGACGCTTTTATCCAAAGCGACTTACAATACGTGCATTCGACCAGGAAGATACAACCTTGAAGAAAACAGAATCATATAAGTACATCAGGTTTCATAGAGCCAAACATTTCAAGTGCTACTCAACTGGCTTTAGATAAGCCAGCCCTTTATTAGTATATAAGTGCTTTGTTAGTAATTCTATCGCTCAAAGTGGAGTCGAAAGAGGTGAGTTTTCAGTCTGCGCCGGAAGATGTGCAAGCTATCTGCTGTCCTGATTTCAATGGGGAGCTCATTCCACCATTTTGGAGCCAGGATAGCAAACCCACGAGTTTTTGTTGATGGGAACTTGGGTCCCCCTCGCAGTGCGGGTGCAGCGAGCTGTTTGGCCGATGCAGAGCGGAGTGCACGTGCTGGGGTGTACGGTTTAACCATGTCCTGGATGTAGGAAGGGCCAGATCCATTCGCAGCATGGTACGCAAGTACCAATGTCTTGAAGTGGATTCTAGCAGTTACCGGAAGCCAGTGAAGGGAGCGGAGGAGCGGCGTGGTGTGGGAGAATTTAGGAAGGTTGAAGACCAGACGAGCCGCTGCATTCTGGATGAGCTGCAGAGGTCGGATGGCACATGCAGGTAGACCAGCCAGGAGGGAGTTGCAGTAGTCTAGGCGTGAGATGACGAGAGCCTGGGCCAGAACCTGCCCTGTTTTCTGGGTCAGCTGGGGACGTATCCTCCTGATGTTGTAAAGCGTGTATCTGCAGCAGCGGGTCGTAGCAGCAATGTTTGCAGTGAAGGACAGTTTGTTATCTAGGATCACACCCAGATTCCTTGCAGTCTGAGTCGGGGAAACAACAGAGGTGCCGATGTTGATTGTTGATTCTTCATTGTTATGGACTAAATAAATCTATGGACGTTAACCGGCTCTTCTTCACTCGGTTTTTCTGCAGCACTGGAGACAAATGCGTGTTGAATTTCAAACCCTGCGGGATGTTTGGCAAAGAGCTGCACAAAGTGGAGGGATACATCCAGGATAAGAGGTTAGAATGCACTCTTAAAATACACTTCAGTCAAATGTTATCCTGAACTGGTTCTCCATTATCCTTCTCTGCTTCTTCCTCTCTTCTCTCTATCTTCCTTTGTGTTGTCCTTCATTTCCACTCACATATCATTTGCATATGTTTCTCTTTCTCATTCTTCCCTCCATTTCTCTGTTCTCTCCGTCAGTAAAAAGAAGCACTGTGTGATCTACGGGAAGTGGACCGAGTGCATGTGGAGCGTGGACCCTCAGGCGTACGAGGCCCACAAGAAGTCGGAGAAGAGAGGGGACAACAAGAAGCACAAAAGTGTGAGTGGAAGTTAGGAATCAGATTCTTCAAATCTAAAACTGTTATTCATATCGCAGATTAACAAAAGAAACTGACCACATTTAATACACACAGAATGAAATGAACTAAAACCAGCGACTCAACACATTATAAACACGGAGAGTAACTAAAACAGAAATGAAATCACATCAAATAAATTCTTAAATAGTGGGTTGTATCAGTATTTATGTGTCTACTGTTTTAATGTTATGCAAATATAAAATACTCATAGACAGTATCGTATTGCCTTTATTTTACCTATTGTTTAAAATATAATTGAATTGCTTGTTTTCTATAATTATCTTGTGACTTTGTATTTTTGTCTTGATTTCCTGTTGGTGTCCACAGCATTCTGTGTGGTCATATCCAGGTAAAGCAGCAGACTGGAGGTCTTTAGCTGTAGTCTGTTTGCTTGTTTGTAGTGAATAAAATAGCTGTAACATGTATGTAGTTTTCCTGGTGGGTTTTAGAAAGACCTCTCCTGGAACAAGACACCCAATCCTGTTTATAAAGTAGAAACTAAGATGCTTCACCCTCTGCAGTTTAAATAACAAGTGTGTTTCCCAGGAGGACCAGGAGGAGAACGATGACGCGGACGACATGCCCGATGCCCAGGAGACGGTCTGTGTGGTACCAGGAAGCACTCTGCTGTGGAGGATAGACTCCAGACCGGCTCTCTCTACTCAGGTACCAGAAAACACTCAAAAGAGCCCGATACAAAAAGTCTGATATTCACATATTTAAAAACCAGAAAACTATTAGCTTTTTTACCCGAACAGTGTTGATTGGGGACTGTAATGTTTCATTGATGCCACATTTCCGCTGCATGTTACGACACGGCTCTTCTCAACTCCACTTGCTTTTTTTATTTTTCGTTTAGCTAGAGTTGTTGATAGTACCCACTTATTTTCCTGTAACACCTCCATAGAGGTTACAATAGACCTGAGCCAATACAAGGGGTGGTCAAGCATAATCAACATTTAAGAAATCCCATAATGACTGATGCAATATCCAGAATGCAGTAAGGGCAATGTTTCGGTTGAGTTCCTCATATTAAAGCGAGAATGAAAGATCATGTGAATAATGTTTCAAAAATGATAATTCTCTCTGATATATTGCAAATCACATCGCAATTGCAGAATCAGTCAATATTATTGCAACCAGTTAGGCAGGAATGAAAAGACTGCTGTTCACTGATCGGTCAGAGAGAATCGTAACTAGCCTGACACAGGACATCCTGCACCAACCCGTCATATTCAGCGAGTGTTCGTTTACAATGATGTCAGGGCAGATTCAGGCGAGAACAGAACCTCCATTAAGGAAAACATTTTTGGAAAAAGGCCTGGTACTTTAGTCGAAATATGCAATGGAAATTAGGCATTTCAAACATTTAATATCCTTAACTCCCTCTCAATCTTTCTTCCACTTCCCTCCCCAGATGTACAACTTCACCAACTTTGCGATGTCTCTCAATGAGATGGAGCCCGGCATGGAGGGCAGGGTGGCCCCCACAGACTGCCGCTTCAGGCCCGACATCAGAGCCATGGAGAACGGCTTGATGGGTAATTCCATATTAAACATCCCTTTTTAAAATTGTCTTGTAGAGTCTGTTTGATCACAGCCGACCTACAAGGCAGATTAGTCTCTCTGGAACTTCAGAAAAAAAGGCACTAATGAGACAATGCTGCCCCCTGCTGGCTGTCTGTGTCACTATCATCTATTTTTGTTAATCTAAGGCTGCAGCCACAAAAGGACGATAACGGAAACGCACCGAAATCGTTATCAAAAAAGTCTTCCGTCCACAGCAATAGGCCCCAGAAACATGTCCGTCCATACGAGACAGCGAACCGCTGGAGACGCTGTAGTACATATGCCGGGCCTGTAAGTGGCGCTGTACTTCTGCCACAAAATACACCAAAAGCAGCGAAGAAGACTTAATAATAATAATAACAATAATAGCTTGGATTTATATAGCGCCTTTCAAGGGACCCAAGGTCGCTTTACAAGTAATACGGCAAAACACAAACATAACAAAACAAAAAG